TTCTGCATGTGCTCATTAGTAATCTGCAAAGTCTCACACTCTTCATCCAGGTAAGCAAACAACTGACATGTTTGGGACAGGGTGAGACATGCAGAGCACTGGGGTGGGGGAGGGTCTGTGAGCCAGTTGGGAAGGGGCTCCACAGTTGAGGTGTTCCCAGTGACTAGTGGGCAGGCTTCCTATGATGTCTACAAAGGGACTAGTGGGATGAACTGCAGAGTGGTTAGTAGCATCCCTTTGGTGAGTTCTTAGCCCTGGTTGCTGTTCTCCTAGCCTCTCTCAAACTCTCAACTGTCCAAATCACCTTAATGTTGTGGGTGAAGAGAAGAAGAAATGGACTTCTTTGGCAGCCTCCTACACAGTTGGGGGAGACAGGTGCTCACTCACACACTCACTTTCCCCCAGGGGAAAAATCAAGAGGATTTCTCTTGTCACCAAGCTGTGCCACCTTGGGGGAGGAGTGCTCTGGGTAAAGTGAAACTGCTCTTACCCTCTTCAAAGTGTCTATTTTTTTGCCCCAAAGGTGTGCTTGAACTTTGCTGGACGCCTGGACTTCCAGGAAGGTACTCGTGTTCATGGGTGGTTGTCAAAATCAATGTTCTATGAGGGGAATAATTGTAGACAACTCCTATTCTACCATGTTGCTGATGTCACTCTTTCAGAATTTTATTTACAAAGCTAAATGTAAAAATGGCAGGATATTCTTCCTCTTAAGGCTGAATAATATCCCATTGTACCTATATGCCATATTTCCTTTATCCATGTATCTGTTGAGGGACATTTGAGTTGTTTCTTAACTTGGCTATTGGGAAAAGTGCTGCAATGAACATGGGACTGCAGATATCTCATCCTGTTTTCAATTATTTGGTGGTATACATCCACAAATAGGATCATTTTGTAGTTACATTTTTAATTTGGGGGGAATTTCTACTGCTGTTTTCCATATAGGCTGCACCATTTTAACTCCCACAAACAGTGTAGAAGAGTTCCAATTTCTCCAAATCTTCAACACTCGTTATCTATTTTTTCTAATAATAGCCATCCCATTGGTGTGAGTTGATATATTATTGTGGCTTTGATTTACATTTCACTGATTAGTGACATTGAGCATATTTTCATATACCTGTTGGACACTTGTACATCTTCTTTGAGAAGGGTCTATTAAAGTCCTGTGTCCGTTTTAAAACCAGGTTGTTATGTTTGTTTTTGCTATTGAATTTTGGGAGTTCCTTTTACATTTTATACATTAATCCCTTATCAGATATATGCTTTGCATGTATTTTCTCCCATTCCATAGATTGCCTTTTCATTCTTTTGATTGTTTCCTAGGCAGAAGGTTTTTAGTTTGATGCAGTCTCACTTGTCTACTTTCACTTTTGTTAATTGTGCTTTTGGTGTCATATCCAAGAAATCAGTACCAAGACCAATTTAAAGAAGTTTTCCCCCTATGTTTTCTTCTAGGGAGTTTTATGGTTTCAGGTTTTATATTTAAGTCTTTAATCCACTTCTATTTATTTTTGTGAGTGGTGTAAGGTAGGGTCCAATTTCATTCTTTAGCATGAGGGTATACCTCATGATACTACACACACACACACACACACACACACACACACACACATCATAATTAAAAAAAAAAAAAAAAACCAAAGAGACAGAGGTTAACTTTTGGAGGTGGTAGATATCATGTCTCCCAGTTTGCCTATAGATGCTATAGTCTTCCAAGCCCTTTATGTTTGACCAAAGCTGACAGTCAAAGAGTATATTTCGTATATTTCTCCCTCACCCCTGTTGAATTACCCAAAACTCACTGCAGTCTTTGGCCTTAGAACTCCCATTGAAACAGCAATTACAGTTGTCACCTGATCAGTCTGGGTCCAATAAGGAGACAGAAACCACACAGTGATTTAAATGGAAATTTAATTTACAAATGATTAAACTTTAAAAAAGTAACTATACAATATTTTTAAACTATATGTTGTACAATCTTAGAGTACCTAAGGAAAGACAAACTTAGCAAACCTCAGACTTTATGAAGAGAAGGTCACTGTAACCCACTGGACGGCAGGGGATTTCTGTTTTGCCTGAGCCAGTGGTGGTCCCTGGTTGCTGGTCCAGTTGGAAGCAACATTCCAGGGTGTGGGTGGTTTGTAGGCGAGTTGTGACTAGTGGTAGAATGCATGGGCATGCAGAATGAAGAAGGGTGCAGATGGTATCCATTTGGGGAACAGATGAGCCATAGCCAGTGGCCACATTCATGGATGGACATAGGGAATGGGTGTGCCTGTGTGGGTAGAAGGCCTGGAATGTGCAGGGTCCACATCCAGAGGTCCATGGGAATGTGATCAATGGCCTAGAGCTGCAAGATCATCAAGGGACTGTACATTATGAGTGTGTGGATAGTGCAGAGTATGAGATGTCTTCACACACACACTGCTGACTGACCATGCAGCTGCTACAAACAGCAAAAGACCCCTTCCTCCTGCTGTCTCCTTCCAATGCCCTCTGATGAGAACCCTTAATATTGTGTTTACTGCAAAGGAGAAATCCTCAGAGAAATTTCTTTCATTATCACAGAGTATGTATTGAAGGATGAATATGGAGCTGAAAGGCAATAAACTGGCACACTGCCTCTAGACTCAACTGCAATCATTGCCCTTTCAAAGTCCCAGCTACTGGTCTGTAAATGTTGGGTTACGTAGAGAGACATATAGGATAAGGGTCAGGAAACCAAGGATTAGCCTAAAACATAGCATAATCAGCAGAGAGACACGAAGAAAAGCCACACAGTGGGAAGACAGCTGGCTTTCCTGCTGGTCCATTTGCAGTAATTACTCATTCAAGGAGCTATATACTACAGCAGCCACCTAGCCATAGGTCAAGTCCATTGCCCTCCATCTCTGGCAGCATCTTCTAAAGCAAAATCTCACAATCATTCACCAGACTTTTTTCTCCAAACAGTCCACCCTCTTTATCTTGACCTCTACTTATAACCCATTATGGGAAAACATCGTATAAGGATTTGTGAATGTTTAGTGACAAAATTGTTTCTGCAAGAATCTGAATATAAAGAAGGGAAAATAATTTGAGGAGAGCATTTTCTGTTATACATATCCCTTCCTGGGTTAAACAGTCCTAACAACCCTTGAAACAATGCTGAAAAGTAAAGTGTAGAGTAGTGGAGGGGACCACTCCCAGTGCTACTCGGTGGTCTCAAACTCGTGTGTCAGTCAGGAGTCATCCTGTAATGATTTTTTACAACTTGATTTTTTTTTTCTTGAAAAAGTATGTGGAAATTTGCATAGGTCTACATCATTTTTTTTTAAATGTTTTTATTTATTTCTAGGAGAGAGAGAGAGAGACAGCGTGAGCAGGGGAGGGTCAGAGAGAGAGGGAGTCACAGACTGAAACAGTCTCCAGGCTCTGAGCTGGCAGTCAGCACAGAGCCCGATGCGGGGCTCGAACCCACGAACCGCGAGATCATGACCTAAGCGAAAGTTGGACGCTTAAACGACTAAGCCACCCAGGCGCCCCTACATAGGTCTACATCATTTTTAATGGTGGTATTTTGTTTCATGTTATGGGGGCACCATAACTTACTCAATCTCTTATTCGTGTATCTCCACATTGTTTACAGTTTTTTAAATTATTGTAAATATTCTTGGAATATGCTCCCTTCTGAAACCATCTTTTCCCTCTTGTACAATTACACCCTAAAGATATATTCTGAGAAGCGGAATTATTAGCTCAAAGACAATGCACATTATACCCTTTGATACAGATAGACAAAATCCTCTACAGAAATGTTGCACCTGTATTTTTCCCCCACTAACGGCTAGTTTTTCCACTCCATTATTGACATTGAGTTGTATTAATCTTTCACCGTTGCTCATCTGAATTGGTAAGAAAGCAACACTTCAGGGTTGGTTTTATTTGCAGTTGAATGGCTGTTCCATGTAAAAACCATAACTAGTAGGAAACTCTAATGTAAGAAAAAGAAGAAATAAAACATGGTACAAATGAATTTCCATTATTTCTCATGGGGAAATTCGCTTTGATATACAAGTGCTTTGGAATACAAGCATGTTTCCAGAACGAATTATGCTCACAAACCAAGGTTTTACTCTATATCTCTTCCTCCCAAATCCATCTATAACCTCAAACTAAATCACAATTGTGGAAGGAACGTGACCAAACTAGAACCTTCTAAAACCCCACTATTAAACAAGACTGTTGAGAAGCGGTGGTGCTAGCTTCTGACAATGAACATTCTTGGCCTTCTGTAAGCTGTCAGTCACTTCAGTAAATATTAGTTTTACTGAATTAACTTTATTAAGACTCCTTGCAGGACATCTAGTCTGGTTAATTTCTTATTGCACTTCAAGGGTAAGCTGACAAGCTTTTCTCATCATTACACATTACAGAGTTTCCCTACTGCACGGGATTTCTTATGTCTATAGATTGCACTTTTGGTAAAGCTTTACCACATGCACATTATCTGGAACATTTCTTTTTTTATGTACCCACCAGTGAATGAAGATTCTCACTGAAGTCCTATCCATACCATTTTTGATACCTGTACTGCCGCATACAGCCTTAAAGATTTAAAAGTTCTAAACTCCGAATTATAAAGTTGCTTTCTTCTATGAACTCCAATAACTACAAAATGTGTTGGTGTTCAATCTCTCTGGGCAATACTAGCAGCAAACAAATTGTCAAAATGTCAGTAGTACAACACACCGAATGTCTAATTATGGGGTACCTGGGTTGCTTGGTCTGTTAAATGTCTGACTTTGGCTCAGGTCACTATCTCACGGTCTGTGAGTTTGAGCCCTGTTGGGCTCTGTGCTGACAGCTCAGAGCCTGGAGCCTGCTTTGGATTCTGTGTCTCCCTCTCTCTGCCCCTCCCCCACTCAGGCTCTGTCTCTCTCTCTCTCACTCTTTAAAAAATAAACATTAAATTTTTTTAATAAAAGAAAAATGTCTGTTTATTAGCTCCCACCCCAAAAAAGCCCAACACAGATCAAATAGCCACCTTCCACCAATCCAGCCTGGAACAGCCTCCAAGATGATGTTGACAGGAAAGATGCCTGAAGGACATCACCAGATGCTTGTAAGGGCTAGCCCTGGAAGTGGCTTACATCACTTTTGCTCATACTCTGTTCCCTGGAACTCTATCACATGGGCCAGCTCTTAACTGCAAGGATTTCTGGGAAATGAAAGTCTCTTTATGTGACCAAGAAATGGAACCAGCAAGATGGACACATAACCACGTCCGTAAAATATCACTTCTATAGAGTCTCTTCCTGTGTAAAAATCTACTAGATTTGAAAACTTGAGAATGGAGTACTATTCTCACCCCACTAATAACATGGGTTTCATTTCTGAGCACTCATTTTGAGTATCTTTCTAGCAGGTACTCTCTTTAAAAAAAAAAAAAAAAAAAAAAAAACTACAGATTTTGGCTGGCCCAAAGTCCTCACTGTACTCATCTCAATTCTAATTTCCTCCCTGGGCATATCCACTCATGGAAATTTGATCTCTAATTATTGTCACTGCCACAAACCGTCCATCTGTGAGTTATCACTTACTTTGCCTGTGGCATGCAACAGTTGATGGAAGTTTTGCAGACATTCTTGAGATCCAGAGTAGTTCTCTGGAATGCTCTTAAGAACCCCTGCTTCAGTGCCTCAGGATGACATCATGGGTGGCAATGTCCCTGTCCTTTGCTGCCCCAGCCCTCCCAATGGCCGAGGATGCCTCTGTCACCTTCAGTGCACGGACTTGCTTGTTTTCCTGATTGAACCCTGACTTACTACATTGAGAATGTTTCTATCCTCTTGCACAGTCTTTGATGAGTAAGAAGGTCTGAGCTATTAACTAAAGCCCTAGCCTTGCTCATGACACATATAGTGTATCTCATCTATATGCACTCTCTGGTGAGCAAGAAGGTATGAGTTACGACTGAAGCCCTTACCACATTCTTTACACTTGTAGGGCCTCACTCCTGTGTGGACCCTGAGATGCACATGAAGATCTGAATTCTGACTGAAGCCCTTACCACACTCATTGCATTTATATGGTTTCTCCCTGGTATGATCTCTGATGTAAGTAAAAGTATGAGCTGTAACTGAAGTCTTTACTGCACACGTCACATGTATAAGGCTTTTCTCCTGGGTGAACTCTGATGAGTGTGAAGAACTGAACTGTATGCAAAAGCCTTTCCGCACACATTGCACGTGTAGGGCTTCTCCCCTGTGTGGACTCTCTGGTGAATGTGAAGATGTGTGCTTTGGCTGAAGCTCTTTCCACACTCGCCACACCGGTAAGGCTTCTCCCCTGTGTGCAGCCTCCGATGGACTTGAAGAACAGAGCTTGAACTGAAGCATTTGCCACACTCACTGCATTTGTAGGGCTTCTCTCTGGTGTGGACTCTCTGGTGGACAAGAAGATTGGAGCTCTGATCAAAGCCCTTCCCACACTCCTCACATTTGTAGGGCTTTTCCCCTGTGTACACTCCCTGATGAATACAAAGAAGTGACCTAAATCCGAACCTCTTCCCACACACATCACATCTTTGGGGCATCTGCCCATGTGGACTCAGTGGTGGTTGTGAAGAGACAAGTTGCGCCTGAAGACCTTGCCACATTCAGGACATCTGTAGGGTCTGTCTCCGGAGGGGCCCTTCTGATATCTGGGAGGGTCTGAGCTCTGCTTGCAGCCCTCAGCCCACTTTTGATATTCGTAAGCTTTGTCATCTGAATGAGTTTTATAATGAACAGTAAGATCTGAGCTCTGACTGAAGTCTTTTCCACACTGGTCACATCTACAAGACTGTTCTGTATGAGTGCTGGGATGGACAGGAGGTTCTGCAACATCTACACAGCCCAACTCATAGTCATTCCATTTGACAGGTTGTGGTACCATAGGGACCGCGTTATGTTGTTTGACTGTTGACTTCGCAGCCAAGTGTTTCCCACAGTCAGTGCATCTACAGGGCTCCTCTGCTTTACATTCTTGGGAACCACCATTTTCACATGATGTCTGACTGATGCTGTCATCACACTGAGCGCATCCATAGTTTTTCTGTTCCACGTGAATTCTCTCATATGGTCCTTGAGAATTCTAGGGCTCAGTCATTATGTGGGCTCCCTTCCAAGACTTGGGTGTAAGGGCTTGTGTCAGGCCTTTCCATGTGGTGCCATCTTGATTTTCTAGATTAATGGCCTTTATTACATAGTTGTCATTTTCAGAAATCTGAAGAAACACTCCGCCCACTCCTCACACAGGGAAACATCTCCTTCTAAATACTGGGGACAAACTCCTTGAAGATTCATGACACACTCCTGACTCCCAGTTAATTCACTGATCCTTTGTTTCCAAATCTGCCAGCGGTAGAGCACTTTTTGTGAGAGATAACTAAACCCTTTTCCTGGAAGGTGTGAAATGTTGTTTTTAATCCTCTCTCCTATGAGGAGAAAAGAAAATTTGGCAAAGAGAACAAGTAATGGCAAACAAGAATTTGGCAAAAAGAAATGAAGTAGGATGGGGTGGGAAGTTGTCACTGGTTTCTATTCATATAGGAAACAATTAGAACCCCAGTAGATCTATTCTGTGACCTGCCAGTTAAAAATCAGATGTTACAGGGAAACTAATGAAATCTTGGGAACAATTTATAAAGAATAAAATTCACCTCCGGAGGTGACAAAACACCTTTAGTCATTTGGCTACAAAAAGTTTGGGGAAGACTCCCATATGATTCATGTTATGTGTGTGTGTGTGTGTGTGTGTGTGTGTGTGTGTGTGTAACATAATAATGGAGTGCCAGACATAGTGACGGACATAAACGATCACAAAGACCTTCCAAGTTACCATCTAAAGTTGTAGAGACAAACAACAGGTCCTGTTGCCTGCTAATGTCCCTTCCTTCACATCACTGTCACATGAGGTGGGATTATCATGTATATCTCTATGCAACCTGCACAACTCTATGTGGTGGGTCCAAAACAGCAATGGGGATTGATATGGGGATAATATTATGAAATATAGTTCTTGGGGGAAGCGGGGAGGCACATGTACACCTTTGAGGCAGGCTTAAAGAGACAACATTTTCTCTGAGCTTCTCTAGATTCCATGAAGAGATATAATCCACCAAATCCTATAATCCATCCAATTATATTTTTTCTTTTCTGGTAACTAATCTCTACTCCCAATGTGGGTCTTGAATTTATGACCTTGAGCTCAAGAGTCACATGCTCTAAGATCCTGTCATCTGCTTCCTTAATAGCTCCTCTTTAGATAATTGCAGAATGTCAAATAGCCATGACTATGAGAATGGGCAATGTGGAACTGTCAATGGCCTGGCCGCCAGGGAAGCAAGATTGTACTAAAGGGCCATAAAACAAAGGGAGATGAGGTAGATGAGGGTGGTCATACCCTTGGCACCCTAAAGTGAGCTTCAGAATGGCACGAACACCATGATCAAGACCATCTGGACACTGCTACTGGTTTGATGTCGTTTCTGAGTCATTTTATTGAGTGACTAATTTATAAGGTGGTGTCAGAGAAGGGGGGACTTTGAGCTGCCCACAACTAGCTTACAGCAGCAGTGTTGCTGTGAAGATATTTTATAGCTGTGATTAAAGTCCATAATCAGGGGTGCCTGGGTGGGCTCAGTTGGTTAAGCATCCTACTCCAGCTCAGGTCATGATCTCGTGGTTCGTGGTTCAAGCCCTGCATTGGGCTCTGTGCTGACAGTTAGCTCAGAGCCTGGAGCCTGTTCCAGATTCTGTGTCTCCCTCTCTCTCTGACCCTCTACTGCTTACACTGTCTCTCTCTCTCTCTCTCTCAGAAAAAAAGAAAGAAAACATTTTAAAAAATAAAGTCCATAATCAGATGACTCTGAAAGATATTATTTTAAATAATCTGGGAGGGCCTGATTCAATCAGTTGAAGGGCCTTAAGACCAGAACTGAGGTTCCCTAAGAGAAGAAATTCTATCTGTAGACAGCAATCTCAGTTTGTATCTAAGAGTTCCAGCCTGCCTTGGGATTTCCTGCCCTGCCTCCACAGTCACATAAAATAAATCTCATATGAATCTCTTCTTAATATATATCTCATGCTGTTCCTACTTCACTGGTTGAACCCTGATGGATATATACCCATTCAAATCTTATTATTTATGCAGACTGGAGCCTGCACTACACAGAGTGTGGTCATGTGATCACGCAAATGTTGTAGCAATACTACATTGCTAGAAAAGTTTCTGGGGCGCTTGGGTGGCTCATTCGGGTACGTGTCAGACTTCGGCACAGGTCATGATCTCACAGTCCATGAGTTCGAGCTCTGTGTCAGGCTCTGTGCTGTCAGCTCGGAGCCTGGGAACCACTTCCAATTCTGTGTGTGTGTCTCTCTCTGCCCCTCCTCAGCTTGTGCGCTGTCTCTCTCAATCTCTCTCTCTCAAAAATAAATAGACATTAAAGGTTTCTGAATTCTTCCTCTTGACTGCTGTGTTGATCTCTCAGTGACAAGCAGCTCATGGACTGGCATGTGTGTGTGAACCGTACTTGAAATAGCACTGAAATAGACATCCTGACACCCTTCCTTTCTGCAAAGGGACAAAGCATCACCTCTCTCACATAGCTCTTGGGAGCAAGGTAAAATGTCTAAGACAAAGCCGTCACTCCTTTCAGAAAACAGCTCCTCAGAAGGGACATGGCACTTAAGAGAGAGAAAGGAAACCTTGACTTACCCAGAATTTAACCATACTGTCTTCCTCTTGGGAACAGTGGGATCCCAAGGACACAGAACTGCCAAGAAACAACCCATGAGAGCGCGAGTTTAACAAATTCTGAGTAAATCCTGGTTTCTTCTTATTTTTTTTAACTTTTTAAAAATGATTATTTTTGAGAGCAAGAGACAGAGTGTGAGTGGGGGTGGGGCAGCCAATGAGGAGCCAGGGGAGGGACTTGCATGCTAGGAAATAAATCATCTGCTGTGACTGCCTATCAAACACCTGCTTTTGCAAGAATGTTGATTAAAGCCTCGCTTCACTCTGCTCCAAGTCTCCATGTCCCTCCTTTGATTGGGTCGGTGGGCTTACTTCTCACTCATATTTACAGAGATAGAAGAAAAGTATCCCATTCACAGGAGACAAAAGACATAAAATACTTATGAATCAATTTCATTTAAGAACGGAGGAAAACCTTAGAATTTTATTGAAACACCTGAAGCTCTGACCACACCTCTGAGCTCACAGTGGCTCACGGGGCCCACGTGTCTAGTCTGAGGGGGAATTCACAATATCTGGCTGCCACATACTATATGCAACTAAGAGTAAAATTCAACCTTTCTATGCTTCCTCAGAGCACTTCCTAGCTAGTTAATTGTAATACTGTTTCAAAAACATTTTATTATACATTCAAATACATGGAGAGGTAGACAGAATAGTAGAATGAACCCCCAGGTACCAATCATGCAGCTTAAGCGGTTACAAACACATGGTCACTCTTATTTCAATGATGCCTCTACCTATTCCCAATGTACTCACATGTTAGTTTGAAGAGTATCCCTGATACCATATTCATCATATTGTCTTATCCAGAAATTCTTCATTATGTAGTCCTAAAAGATATGAAATAGTTTTAAAAGTGCTGATATTACCCCTAATATAGTTTACATCGATTCTCTAATTTCATCAAATGGAGAGTCAGTTGTTCAAACTTCTATTCTGTTGACTGCAACTGAACAGTTTGCCACTTGTTACTTGTGGCTAATCAGCCTCAAAGTTTGCACTCCCTGCCTCACAGCATGCAGGGTGAGGACGGGGTTAATAATTTGGGGTGGTTATTTTCAAACTGTATTCAGAGACTACTCCAAATGTCTAACCAGACGGAGGAGAAAAGCCAAGATGTAAGCAGAGTTAGGGGTTCCCGGAAAAAGAAAGATGAGACATAGATTGTTTTTTGTTTTTTGTTTTTGTTTTTGATAGAGCTTCTTGACATAAGAAAAGTCATTTTAGGTCCCGTCTCTCTTGTGATCTAAGCCTAACTGGCACTTGGCACTTTTCTTGCAGAACTTCCTGGGATATGGTGAAATTGCAGAATAGACCTCTGTAGTTAATGGCTTTAAGGGAACAAAAGAAGGTAAGAATAAACAGCCACTATCAAGCCACAAGATAGTCTAATTATATTAGGGACGAGAAATCAATGGTAAAACTCCCAGGGCGGATTCAAAAGTGAAGAGTGACCTGAAGCACATTCTTGAGTGACCTTTGCAGGATCTAAACCCCTTTGAGCACCCAGAGCCCAGACCAGCTGAAGCCAGAGAATTGATGATGCTGACCCATGCCAGCCCTCATGACTTAAACCAACTAAGACCTGGACTCGCTCATTTTAAGACGACTTTTGCCCCAACTCCAGGCTGAATTCTCCCCTGCACAAGCCCCTTCATGAATATGTATGCACTCTTACTTTAAAACTTTCCGAGTTTGGGGCGCCTGGGTGGCTTAGTCGGTTGAGCGTCCGACTTTCCCTTAGGTCATGATCTCGTGGTTCGTGGGTTCGAGCCCCGCGTCGGGCTCTGTGCTGACTGCCAGCTCAGAGCCTGGAGCCTGTTTCACAGACTCCCTCTCTTTCTGACCCTCCCCTGCTCACGCTGTCTCTCTCTCTCTCTCCTAGAAATAAATTAAAAACATTAAAAAAAAAAAAAAAAAACTTCCCGAGTTTTATTGTCCCAGGAAGCACTGCTTTGGGAAATATCTCCGGGGTTCCCCTTTAATCGTGCAAGTAAAACCCTTCCTTTTTGTTGTTGTTGTTGTTTTGTTTGTTGTGTCTTTTGGCTCAACACCTACCAAGACGGGAACCCAGTTTTGGGTAACAAGATGCCCGCTGGAGACAGAGCTATCAGATGCCAAACACAGCGTTCAGAATCCAAGATTCCAGAAAGTTTGGGGTACTGATCTCGAATCGTCTCCCTGCCAAGCCCAGGAATGAACAGCCCAAGCCGTCCCCCGTACTCGGAGATGAACTGCTGAGCCCGCCCCTCTCCCCATTCAGGGACGCCTGGCCCAAAACATTATTCCCCAAACACGGGCCAACGCCCTCCACACACACACCCCACCTGGATCTGGAGATGCACATTCCAAGACTGACACCAATCTTGACGCGGTGATGCACAGCCCCTAGCCCAAAACCTGCAGAGGCGCTATCCGAGTCGGTGCCCCCAAACCCAGCTCTGACCAAGCTCTCCCTCCCCTTCCCAAGGAATGCCCGGCGAACACGTCAATACTCCGCCCCGCCAAGAGGGCTCTTTCATTGGCCACCACAGCGCCCGCCGGAGCCCATAGCACATGCGCAGGGAAGCCTGCGGACTACAATCCCCAGAAGCCCCTGCGCCGCAGCAGCTGGGAGGCTGTTTCCCGGGAATCCGTGCCCCGCTGGGGCCACGCGCACGCTAGTCATGTACCTAAAACGATCATAACAACAATCGCAATAGCGGTAAAATAATAGTAGTGAAATGTTAGCAATAGTTAAGTCACTCTCCACGCATGATCATGAAAGAGAGGCAAGATTCTCTTAACTACCTGGAAATGAGCACTTGCTCCCCTTTTAGTGAAAATCCTTACAGGTTTTTATTCTGCAGACATACCCTTTAATTTTAGAAACACGCGGTTTTCCAGTTTAAGATGTATTTAAATACCTGTTCACGGCTCGTTTCCATCGAAGGGGACTCTGCAAGATCTTCCACACTGGAGAGCAGACATAGTCCTGTAATAGGTTTCTCCTTCTCTGGAGAAGAACGAATTAACAACCAGTGCCTTCTGTTTTGAGTCAGGGGATAGCACCGAGTCTGGGTGGGTGGAGGTCTTAGAAGAGGCCTATTTCCACAAATCACGAAGACAACGAAAAGTTTTCGGATTCCCTTTGAGAAGTCTCCCCTCTTGGAACTTACTTTTTGCATTTTAAGATTCCCGTTACAGAAAGTATCTTACTTTATGTGCCATCATGGGGGTAAGAGATTGGAGTCATCCTTAATTTTGGTAGATACTAAAACAGTCTTTTTACTGGATGGGGGCCGATGTTTTCTTTAACATGCCTCAGTAGTATCTGCCATAAATATGTCAATCCTCCACATTTGAGTTAATTTATTCCCTTTTAGCCTCTCCTTTTTGACCTCTCTTCTACTACTTTCTCTTTGCCCTCTCTGGTCCAACCACAGTGTTCTTAATGGTTGTTTCCCCAATGCTTAGACCCATGGTGCCTGACACATAGTACCTCTTGATCACCCCAATTTCAGTCAGAAGGAACACTTCAAGGGGTTGAAAATGATATGCACACACTCCTGATGGTCAAATGGCAGGATACCGTGTTACACTGTGACTCTGGGGGCCAAGGCAACAACAGGCTTAGGTGTTTTCAGTGCTCTGATCAACACATCTGGATGCAGGAGGTCTCCCAAATGTGAGTAACTCCAATATAATTTCTGACCTGCTATCATACCACCTCATCCTAGAGGGTGCTGGCAGATTATCTCAAGTTGGCATGCTTCCTTCTCCAACTGGTGCTGGAATAATACTAGGCTGCATTTTATATCTGAGATATTTATATGTAGGCTAAAGCCTGTTGTGAGGAAGTTACACTTTGTCTGGACCCAGAAAAGCTGCTTGGACATAGGTATTTTAAATCTCTGACTCTACCTTATAAAATGACCGCATGTCAACCTGTTGATAAGATACCACCTTACTGTCACCATATGCTTTATATTCTATGCCCGTCTCATCTCCCCAATCAACGCACTTTGGTTAGAACCAACTTGTTCAACATCATTCTTGGTATATTACCAATCATTCCATTCTGACTCCACGCTGCAGATCATGCTTTTACAACTCCCCAAATGTCCTGAAACTTGTATTAGCTTTTCTGCCATATAACATTCAAAGAATGTCAAGAGAGAGTGACACCTTACTTCACTTGCTACTGCTGATTTTGCATGGAAATCACTGCACTTTTACATGAACGCAAAGCAATCCATGGTGGTTGCAGCACTGCCCTTGACTCTCTTGTAGCCCTTGCTGCCACTAAAACACCAGCAGTTGATTGGCACCTGGGTAAGCTTTAGGCAACCCAGTGGGACCTCAAGGACAGCCTCTAGCAGCCAGAACAATCAGGACACATCTACAAAAGTTGACTGTTGGCACGACCATTCCAACCGTGTTATTCTCCCATGCTGTTGGTAGCTATGGTACTTTCCAGACACATCCACAAATTCTCTAGTCCTTCTTGCAAGAGGTGAGGCCTATTGTCTCTCCCCATAGGGACTCCTAAGGAATAGAATAAAGCAGAAGTGATGGCGATTTCAGGGTCAAAAAAGGCACTGTGGCTTCTTGCTTGTGCCCTCCTCTCTGATCACTTGCTTGGGAGGGAAGTCAGTTGCCCTGTCATGAAGGCTCTCAGGCAGTCCTGTAGAGAAACCCATGTGGTGAGAGGATCTTAGACCTTTTTCAACGGCCACTGAGGAACTGAAGCCTCCTGTTCCAAGGTTCTATGATGACCAAAGCGATCTTGGAAGCAGATCCTTTAAGCCCTGGTCAAGCATTCAGATGACTGTAGCTGCAGGCAGCATCTGACAGCCACTTCCAGAACAATGGGGAGATGCTGCCCAATTTTAAGAATCTGAGGTCCTCCTTTGGAAATCCAGTAAGTGAGCTGAACCTTTCAACCACAAACCTTGAAGTCTCAGGTGCAAGAATGGCCTCTATGTTGGTTCTTTGGCTCTAAAACCCACCCCATGATTGGAATCACCTTCCAAAAAATACTGGAGATTTTTTTCAAGCCCCCTTCTGAAAGCTAACCATTCTAGCTATCGACACTTTGCTGGACTCCCAGACATGTGCTTTAACTATTTATTTGGATAGAAAGTGCCCCCAGCCCCCCTCCCTGACACATCTACAACTGAGATTCTTTGTCTAGCAGCCCAGGCAGCAGAGAGGAACTCAGCCCAGACTGTGCCCCACGTCTCGAGTCTGCCCGAAGAAGAAGTCAGACTACAGGGAATGCCCTCTGCAAAGCCTGGCTTGGGGGCTCACTGGTCCCAAGGGGCCAGGATGCAGAATGGAGCACCACAGCTCCAACCAGTTACCCAGACCACCTCGTTTCTGCCCAAGCCAAAAAAAATTATGCAGCCTCTGAAAGTATCTAAATCACAAATTTCTCAGTTCATGTGTATGCTTTATATTTGGTACTACATGCTAAATAAACAGCAGAAAAAGCAAAATAAAAAAATAAAGGAAAGAGGTTATAACAGGGATCTTTGACCATAAGGCACTGTTCTACCAGACTTAATTTTTTTTACAAAAATAGCTTTACTATTGTTATAAAACTGATATAAACTCTGTTAAAAAGTAAAATGCATAAAAGTACATGAATGTATTGCATACCCCACATCCCACTTGTTAGAGATACGCAGTTATCATACTAACCTTTCACACGTATTTTTCTCTATATATAAACATACAGACACAAAACCGCACTAACAAAAATGGAGTCATACTAAAATTATTCCACGACTTTCCGGACTCACAAAATAGTTTGTGGGCAACCTTCAATGCCATTGTAGGCGCTGCCTATATTTAGTGGTTTTCACTCATTTACATGTGCTTTCATTTATTACACTTGGAGTATTAATTTTTTTTTTGCTATAGTAAGACTATGCTAAGAAACAGCCGTAGGCATAATCTTTTTCCACAGTGCAACTATCTCCCAACTATCAATGACTACACTTATTGCCACTTTAAAGGCTACACAAATTGAACTTGATACACTGACAAATTCTTTCCAAAAAAAAGACTGCTTATTTTCACTCCCACCAATACATTAACAAGTGCCTGTCTCCACAGATCCCCACGGATGGTGGCTTTGGTGACTCTGTGTTACCACAGCTGTTCTGACAAGTTAAAGGGGTATTTCTGATTTTTTTAAGTGCTCTAATGTGTATCTGTAAAACAAAACAAACAAAACACCACTAGGAAATCAAACGAATGGGGCAGAAATATATTCATGATAGCAATAAATTAACCCATAAATTCAATGCAATGCCAGTCGGATTGTGTTTTTAAAACTTGATAAAATGAAATAGTCCTGTCTAGGAGAGCGGCGTTTATCTCTAGGAGATAAAACACAGTCACCGCACCTTGATAAAAATGGGATGGAGCTACATCATCTGGAGATATACCTGCCAAGAGGGAGACTCTAACTATTCCTGGTCTTCTGAAAGTGACTTGCCCCAACCAATGTGAACATCATCTTTCCGGTTTTGTAAAAATCATCTTCTAAAAGGTACGCACAATATTGGTTTTAGTAAGGTGACGATTTTTGCCTACATTTGTCCCATGTGTAGGTATTTCCCTACCCCCCACCCCGGAAGGAATCCATGTCCACAATTTGGTCCTCTGATATGCTGTTATATGTCATTCATAAAAAGCTCCCTGCTGGACTGACTCCAATGAGAGTGACGATTTTTACTGAGGCCCCGCCATACTTCAAGGACACTCCTCTGGGAGAGGGACTCCTGGAGAGCAAAGTTTGTGACTCAAGTGCTTTTCCCATCTATCAGACTTCCAGATCTTCTCTTCCTGTGCAGGCCAACTGCTGTGACCAGGTCAGCCTCCACTGGTCACATCAAGTTCACAAAGTCTTCCTCCTGCGTGGGCGCTCAGATGAGTGTTAAGTTCTGAGTTCTACCTCGGCGTGTGCCTACTTCTGCAGTTTCTCGCTAACATGCGCTCGCTGATGATTCCGCAGCCCCGAGCTGTAACTGAAGCCCTTCCCACACTCCCCACACTTGTAGGGCTTCTCGCCAGTGTGGACCCTCTGGTGGACATGAAGGCAGGAACTTCGGCCAAAGCCCTTCCCACACTCCTCACATTTGTAGGGCTTCTCGCCTGTGTGGACCCTCTGGTGGCCTTGAAGATGTGAGCTCTGACTGTAGCCCTTCCCACACACGTCACACCTGTAGGGTTTCTCCCCGGTGTGCACCCTCTTATGACTGAGGAGACCAGAGCCATATCTGAAGCCCTTGCCACATTCGTAACACGTGTAAGGTTTCTCTCCCGTGTGCAGCCTCTGGTGGGTGCGCAGATTGGAGCCGTAACTGAAGCCCTTGCCGCACTCATCACACGTGTAGGGCTTCTTCCCTGTGTGGATCCGCTGGTGTTTGTAGAGACTTGACGTGCACCGGAAACCCTTCCCGCACGCTTCGCACTTGTAGGGCTTCTCGCCGGTGTGGACCCTCTGGTGAATGAGAAGCCCCGAGCTGTAACTGAAGCCTTTGCCGCACTCGGCACACTTGTAGGGCTTCTCCCCGGTGTGGGTCCTCTGATGGATGAGGAGGTCGGAGCTGTAAATAAAGCCCTTCCCACACGCCTCGCACACGAAGGGCCTCTCCCCGGTGTGGACCCTCTGGTGACTGTGAAGGTCCGAATTCCGCCGGAAGCCCTTCCCGCACTCGACGCACTTGTAGGGCTTCTCTCCGGTGTGGACCCTCTGGTGGACGTGGAGGTCCGAGCTCCGGCCGAAGCCCTTGCCGCCCTCGCACTTGTAGGGCTTCTCGCCCGTGTGCAGCCGCTGGTGCCGCAGGAGCCCCGAGCTGTAGCTGAAACTCTTGCCGCACACGTCGCAGTCAAAGAGGCGCTGCCCCGTGTGCACTCGCTGGTGCGCTTGCAGGTACGAGTTGTAGCTGAAACCCTTGTCGCACTGGTCGCACTGGTACGGCTTCTGCCCCGCGTGCGACTTCTGGTGGCTGCTCAGGTGAGAGCTGCACGAGAAGCCCTTCCCGCACTCGGCGCAGCTGAAGGGCTTCCCGCCCGGGTGCACGTGCTGGTGCTTGTGCAGCGCGGACTTGGCGTAGAAGCCTTTGCCGCACTCGCCGCACGTGTAGGGCTTCTCGCCCGTGTGCAGCCGCTGGTGCACCTGCAGCACCGAGCTGTAGCTGAAGCCCTTCCCGCAGTCGCCGCACTTATAGGGCTTCTCTCCGGTGTGCACCCTCTGGTGCACCAGCAGGTTCGAGCTGCGACCAAAGGCCTTCCCACACTCCTCACACGCGTAGGGCTTCCTCCCGGTGTGCACGCCCTGATGGATGAGGAGGATCGACTGATAGCGGAAGCCCTTCCCGCACACGTCGCATCTGAAGGGCATCTCCCCCGCCGGGGCCCGGGGCCGGCTGGGGCTGCGCGCCTTCTGCCGGATGCCCCTGGCGCGCTCGTCACTCCTGGAGGGTTTCTCGTCCTTGGGGGTCCTCTGAGGTCTCTCGAGGTGGGCGGTCTGCCTCAGGCCCTTACCAAACTCGGGATATTTATGGGGCTTCTCTTTCCAGGGCACCCTTGGGTGAGTGGGAAGGTGCGAGGCTTCCCGGAAGCCATTGCCACGTTCGTTTCCGTTCAAGGAATCCTCTTCCGGGTCGGGGTGACGGAGTGTTGACTTTTTAACACGGTCTTTCCCACCCTGGACACAATTACATGGTCTCTCTCTTTCCGGTAATCTGTGGTCATTGAGACAACGTGACGTCCAGCTGAAGCCGAAACCGTCCCACTCAGGTTTATACACTGTGCCTTGCGTGTGGAGTCTTTTACACCTTTCTCGAATATTCCACGTCTCGTTCGCAAAGGCTTTCATCCAAGATTCTCTAACGGATACCGGTCTTACAGCTTTCCAGGCTGGAAACTCTTGATTTTCTGAACTGATGGGTCCTTGAAGACTGCCTGCCAAATTGTCAATTTGTGAACCCCAAGGAGATGCTCCTTCCCACCCATGGCAGGGAGAAGTGTCTTCTGAGAACTGGAACTCTTTCCCTTGAAGATTCCCTTGAAGATCCACTCTCCGGTCTTGACTCCCAGTTAATTCACCAGCCACCTGTTCTCCAATTTTCCAGCAGGAGAGCCCTCTGTAGGAAAGGCATTTTAGCTCTCTGTCTTCAATATACGCCGTATCCTTTTCATTCTTCTCTCCTGCGGGGTGAAAGACAATTCCGAGATGAGAACAGGTACAATACTGGCTCAGGGACCTCAAGCCAAGCCAGGCTGTCAGACTTGGACCAGTAACGGCCTGGAGCAAAGTTCACCTGTATGTATTGTAACTACCAGGGGACTCCTTTTATGTCTGGGGGGGAGAAAAAAAAGAAGAGGTTCCTATTAACAAGCTTTGAAGCTAAACGTTAATACGATCCTACTAGTAACGAACTACATCTCATCATCTAGTTGCCTAAGGGAAAAAGAAATTCCGAATAGATTCCTACGGAGATGATGCACTTCTTTGCTTAATGTTGTTGCTCCTAATAATAACATCTAACGTTATTATAACGCTTCCCATGTGCTGACGATGTACACCTATTAACTCATTTAACTCTCAGAATAACACTGAGGTGGGAACCTGTATCATTTTCATTTAACGGATGAGGGACCCAAGGCACAGAGAGGGTGAGTGAGTAACCCAGTGAAGTCACTCTGCCATGCCATGTGGAAGGGGTAGGTAGAGAGTCACACACAGAAGTCCTGTTTTAGAGCCTACTGAGCGCTGTCTCCCAGAGTGAATCTAACTCTGGGCACATGTGAGCTGAACATGGGGAAGAAACAAAGCACCAAATCCATCAAAGTGCAGTAGCTGTGTCCCGGTCTACCAGAAGCATCTCAAATAGGAATCCACAAGATACCAACACAGCACAGAGGCATAAAAATATTCAACTTATCTCTGTCACTGACTGCAAGCCATCCAAACCGTCAGGTTTGCCGTGTAGCTCCAGGTTATTTAAAAAATCTGCCCACGCTTTTTGATATTCTTTATTGGCGATTCTTATCCCAAGGCCCGGAATAACACAAATCTGTTCACAGCTGAGGGCTTGTAGGATACTGGAGATAAATGAGAAATCCATCAGAGGACTCTCAATATTCTGGAAGAGTCTGCCACTGGCTTATCTTACACTGACTGGCTGTTTCTAGCAAAGGGAGAAAAGTCCAGGGACCCCTCAGTTACTCTGAATACGTCATTCTCTGAAAAGCATGAAGAATCCGTGAGAAGGTAGGGACCGAGGAGTGGAAAATGAGGTTGCACAACAATCACCTACAATAGTACAAGTGTCCACAGGTAAGATCGAGGTCAGAAGGGGCCTCTGCATGACCAGCTCACTCCATTCCTGCCTGCTCAGGACCCAGGCTCCATGGTTCTTGCCTGGGCGTGCATCTCTTGGGAGTTTCTCCGTTACCCAAGTCTCTCTGCCTTGTTCCTTGGAGGTGCCTTATCAGGTTTGAAAGATTGTTGCCTTGAAATTCCAAGCCTTAGGCTCATCTGTGACATGCAAAAAATAATCAGAAAAAGTAGTCCTAATCTCCTGACTTTCAAGTCTTTGAAGGACATACAGAGAAAAGATTTCAGATGGGCCAAATGAAACTATAACAGTTCTATAAAAATGGGATTTAACCTGTATACAAAGACTAAAAATATCCTTTTCTCCCGGGAAACAAGAACATTCCAATCAAGATAAGTGTGGATTACCCAGACACTCCCCTTACCCAGAGAGAGCAGGTTCCGGAAGTTCTCCAGCATTACGTCTCGGTACAGCTCCCTCTGGGCGGGGTCCAGCAACCCCAGCTCCTCCTCAGTGAAGACCACAGCCACATCCTTGAAGGTCAATGGCTCCTAAAATGTGAAACACCATTAACACAAACACCTACTAGATGAAAGGCAAACTTGGCATCACTAAGAAGGGTAGACAAGCATGCAGGAAACTGCTAGGTTTGACAAGTGAAATCAAGTTTTGTTAATGTTTGATGCCAATAATGTTGATTCTAACCAACTAATCTTCCATGGGTATCCAAAAAGCAAAGCAAGAACCACTCTTTGTTCAGAGTGAGCACTTCAGAGGGTAATGCCATGGAGCTACAATGCTTCCATCACATGGTCCATCCGTTTTACAATTTTTTAAAGTTTTTTTTAACATTTTTTCAAATCTTTATTTTTGAGACGGAGAGAGAGAGTGTGTGTGTGTGAGTGGGAGAGGAACAGAGAGAGAGGGAAACACAGAATCCGAGGCAGTCTCCAGGCTCTGAGGTGTAAGCACCAAGCCCGATGCAGGGCTCAAACTCATGAACTGCAAGATCATGACCTGAGCTGAAGTCAGACGTTTAACTGACTGAGCCACCCAGGTTCCCCTTTAACATTTCTTTCTTTTTTTTTTTTTTTAATTTTTTTTAATGTTTTTTTTTTTAATTTATTTCTAGGACAGAGAGACAGACAGACAGACAGACAGCGTGAGCAGGGGAGGGTCAGAGAGAGAGGGAGTCACAGAATCTGAAGCAGGCTCCAGGCTCTGAGCTGGCAGTCAGCACAGAGCCCGACACGGGGCTCAAACCCACGAACCACGAGATCATGACCTAAGCGAAAGTCGGACGCTTAACCAACTAAGCCACCCAGGCACCCCAATTTATTTCTGAGAGATAGAAAGACAGAGCACAAGTTGGGGAAGGGCAGAGAGAGAGGGAGACACAGAATCTGAAGCAGGCTCCAGGCTCTGAGCTGTCAGCACAGAGCCCAACACGGGGCTTGAACTTACAAGCTGCAAGATCATGACCTGAGCCGAAGCTGGGTGCACAATGGACAGAGTCACCCAGGCACCCCATAATTTTTTTAAGTTTATTTCTCTATTTTGAGAGAGACAGACAGTGTGAGGGAGGGAGGGGCAGAGAGTGAGGGAGAGAGAGAATCCCAAGCAGGTTTGGTGATGCCAGTGCGGAGCCCAATGCGGGGCCTGAACTCACAAAAAACCATGAGACCATGACCTGAGCTGAAACCAAGAGTTGGATGCTTAACCAAATGAGCCACCCTGGGGCACCCTCATTTTACAATGTGACTCTAAATTACAGAATACCAACTTTTCCTCCAAAATGATTATTTCAACATTGCCCAACGTTAAGAGTGCCCACATCCACAACACACCTCCAGATCACCTCCTCAGCCAGAATGACTTCTTCACCAACCAGCCCCTCATGCCTCCATTAGCAGTTGGACAAATCCTGCTCTTTGCTGCCCCCGCCCCCACCCCCTACACACATACATACACACACACACACACGCGCGCACGCGCGCGCGCCTTTTACAGGCTTCCATGTCAGCGGTGAGAAGCAACCAACGTGTGTTTATGTGACCATGTCCCAGACAAAGGAGGCCTCTGCAGAGGCAATGGAGTTTCACATCATTCTGTGTCATCCTCAGGTATGAACAGCAGTCCACGACCTTTAAGCAAACTGCTCTAGTCTACTGAGGAAAACAGCAGCAGTGTAAACACAGCGAAACACAGTGATCACACAGTGATACTGTACTGTGAGATTATCGTTGTTCTCAAGAGGGAGACAATTGCGTCTGAGGGACTTCAGAATCCTACTTTGCCTTCAGCCTGTACCAGCAATACCTGTGACAAGGTCTTACTAGTACAAATTGAGCTGTGATTCTATACATATTTAACTTTTTTTAAAAAATGTTTTTTAATATTTATTTTTGAGAGAGAGAAACAGACTGCAAATGGGGGAGGGGCAGAGAAAGAGGGAGACACAGAATCTGAAGCAGGCTCCAGGCTCTGAGCTGTCAACACAGGACCTGATGCAGGGCTCAAACCCACAAACCGTGAGACCATTACCTGAGCTGAAGTCAGATGCTTAACTGACTGAGCCACCCAGGCGCCCCTATACATATTTAACTTTTGTAAAAATAATTCATGGGTACATTTTACGAAGGAAGGCAAAGTAGCTATAGTAAGGTTTCTTTTTTTTTTTTTTTAAGTTTATTTATTTATTTTGAGAGACAGAAAGAGAGGGAGAGATAGATGAGAGAGAGAGAGAGAGAGAGAGAATATCCCAAGCAGGCTCCACACCATCTTCAGCTGTCAGCACAGAGCCCAGTGAGGGGCTCGAACCCATAAAACCATGAGATCATGACCTGAGCCGAAGTCAGATGCTTAAGTGACTGAGCCACCCAGGTGCCCCCATAGGAAGGTTTAATGCATGCATGTCTGTATATTACTCATTCCATAAATATTCAGAACCTATAAAACAGTATTAGACACAGGAATTCTAGAGATTTCTAGAGATTCACAAGCCCTGCCTCCATGGGGCTTGTGCTGGCAGTCCCCACGATCCCTTCCAAGTTGAATGATTCGCAAGAAGGACTTACAGGACTCAGTATGTAATCATACTCAGCTAGGACTTAGTATGTTTAAAAATACAAAGCAAAACCATGGGGCACCTGGGTGGCTCAATGGGTTAAGCGTCTGACTGCAGCTTAGGTCACGATCTCATGGTTTGTGGGTTTGAGCCCCATGTCGGGCTCTGTGCTGACAGTGCAGAGCCTGGAGCTTGCTTCAGATTCTTGTCTTCCTCTCTCTTTGCCCCTCCCCAACTTGTTCTCTCCCTCCCCCTCCCTCCCTCCCTCTCTCATTCATAAATAAATAAATAAATAAATAAATAAATAAATAAATAACTTTTAAAAATCAGCCAAGGGAAAAGCCATGTGGGGTAGAGCCTGGAGGAAGCCGGGTGCAACCAGGTGAGTTGCTGTGACAAGCCTTTGCCATGCACAGAATCACATACTAGGTACCCTGGGTCCTGGCAAATCTCTGAACATGGGCATGGCCTTTGGGACCCCTGAACCTGAAACACAAGACACAATGGGAACCTGGCCATGGTTACACAGCTAGTAAGAGACAGGGTTCTAGTTCAAACTAGAACACGAACACACAGAGTCTGGTTCCAGAGCCACTATACTTTAGCAACTGTCCTCTACAGGCCAACCAGTGTGTTACCAGGGGGACCAGAAATGCATATATAAGGCAGATAATATTAACACCTGATGTTTACAGAAAAATCACTGAAAGGTGGGCTGTAGCCTAAGCATTTCTCCATGATTTATCTCATTTAACCCTCACAACATTCACAGAACATGAGAACTTTCTGGAGCATCAAGAGTGATCTTTTATCAGCAACTACTCACAAGGTAGTTACCCTTTCTATCTCCATTTCACTGATGAGAAAAAAAGATCTCAGACAGTGAATGTTATTTGCCGAAGAACATCCACTCAATAAGCGCTGAGTCAAGACTGAACTCGGACAGCCCAATGAAGGATGCTGAACCTACCCTGCTCTACCACCACCCAAATGAGAGTGGAGGGGCCAGACCAGAGGAACCCACCTCCCCATTCTGGAGAGGGAGTGCCACCGACAGAGCACATTTCAGAACAGAATCCTAGATCGATCCCAAGACTAGAGACAGAGTCACGGGGAGAAACCTGGGACCAGAGGCGGTCAGTTGGACGATTAAACAGATGTGGACCTGCCACTAACTCCCAAATCTTTACAGCCAGCCCTGCCTTCTGCACTGAGCCCTCCCTATTCCACCTACCGCCTGGATGCCTAAAAGGTATCGTGAAGCAAAAACAGCCCAATTGGAAGGAAGTCTTTCCTCCCAAATAGTTATCTTCTAATCGCCCTGATGCGGGTAAGGGCTAGTACCATCTACCTTAAAGGCATCACCTGGATTCTTTCCTTTTCCTCATGTCTTACAGCTAATTCATTAAAAAAAAAAAATTGGGGGGGGGAAGCCTAGGTGGCTCAGTCAGTTAAGTGTCTGAGTCTTGATTTCAGCTCAGGTCATACTATCACGGTTCGTGAGTCTGAGCCCCACGTCAGCCTCTGTTGGCGGTGCAAAGCCTGCTTGGGATTCTCTCTCTCCCCTCTCTTTCTCCCTCAAAACAAATAAAAATAAACTTAAAAAGATTCTGCCAATTATTATTCCAAAGTATACTTCAAGCTTCTCCCCATCACTACTTCTACATCTTTATTGCGACTCATCATTATCCTTCACTTGGATGACTGCACAAACCTCTCAGTTCATCCTGCCTACGTCCCTCAAGATACTTCAGAGCCATCATCTTGTGTTTAACCTGTTTCCCACCTGTCTTCCCCTTCTAGAATGCCAGCCCCATTAAAGCAGGGATGTTACCTGTTTTGCTCTCTGGTATATCACCAGGGCTTAGATATATGGGTTTGGCCCATAGTAGGTGTCCAGCAAATGTTTACTAAATGAAGACAGAAAGAATAACTTTTGAACCTCAAAAGTACATGCTCAGTATAAACAGTAAAACAACATAGGGACACACAAGTAATTCAGTAGAGTTAACTGAGCTGCAATATCGAATGGATGCCACAGTGGCAAAGATGGATGTGGCAGAGCAGTGTATCAGCAATACAGAGAACACACTTATGGAGAATAATGAAGCAGAAAAAAAGAGGGAGACTAAAGCAAAAGGGCATGATTTAAGAATAAGAGAAATCAGTGACTCATTAAAAAGGAACAACATCTGAATCATAGGGGTCCTAGAAGATGAAGAGAGAGAAAAAGGGGTAGAAGAGTTATGTGAGCAAATCATAGAAGAAAACTTTCCTGATCTAGGTAAAGACACAGACATCAAAGTCCAGGAAGCACAGAGGACTCCCACAAGATTCAACAAAAACTGACCATCCACAAGGCATATCATAGTCAAATTCACAAAATACTCAAGCAAGGAAAGAATCATGAAAGCAGCAAGGGAAAAAAAGTCCTTAACCTACAAGGGAAGACAGGTCAGGTTCACAGCAGACGTATCCACAGAA